GTGACTGATTTCAGTTACAGATCTCCAGGAGCCAGAGCATTTCTTAATGTTAGACAGGAATTGGGAAGGGGAGAAATAAAGGTGGCTTTTGCTTTTTAAACTATAGTTTGAAATAATTTTAGACTAGAAAAGTTTTCAGTAGCAGTACACAGAGTTTGCCCAGTTTTTCTCAGTTTTTAGTTTATATAACCATAGTAAAGCTTTAAAAACCAGAAAATTTCATTTGTCCAATACTGTTAATAAAATTCAGGAATCTCACACTAAGTTGTGTCTCCTTACTCCTTCAATCTATAACTATCTTAGTCTTTATCTTTCGTTATAAAGATGGAGTTCTAATATTTTAGGGGGGTTCACATGAAAAGATTGGTGTTGGGAATGCTGTTAAATTAAGAAAGTGATCTAGGATACATAAAGAATCTGAACATAAGAGAAGGGTAATAAACTTCTGAGGAGTGATGTCACATAACATGTCGTCTTTTTACAGGCACCTACAAAGGCAGCACCTAAGCAAAAGATTGTGAAGCCTGTGAAGGTTTCTGCTCCCCGAGTTGGTGGAAAACGCTAAGTTGGCAGATCAGGTTTTTAAATAAAGATCCAACTCTAACTCTAGGTTGTGCTGGATTTTTTTTCTCTCATATAATAGGCGTAGTGGGCCTACATGGTCTTAGGTGACTTCAGAGAGTTGAGAAGTTAAGAGGTAGGCCTTTATTAAAGTTCATTCTCAGGAATACTCCCTAAAGTAAGCCTTAGTACAAGAAATGCTAAGCAAAATGATGTAAGAAATAAAATATATGTGGTTAAATGCTGGCTTTGCTTAGCTGAGGTGTGTAGGCACATGACACAGACTGACAGCATGGTAAACCTTTTGGTTTAATGGCTGCAAGTACTAGGATGCTGCATAGATTTAATCCAAGTGATTCGTAAAAAGATAAGCAGGCAGTCCCTGGGTTACAGACAACCTGGACAGCCTCACTTACGGTGTTCTATAATTAACAACAGCCTCCCAAGGCTCCCCATAAGGATATTATTGATATCCTGAAATAATTAATCAGATGAGTGATTTGGGAACTGGTTTCTTCCATGCATGTGAGCAAGCCCGCATGACATAAGTGGTTTGTTGGCACAGCCTCTTTATGTTCATGGCTAGTCTCATTGTTTATATGGTCACGTAAGCATATAACTTTCTTAACCTTTTATTTGATTTTGTGAGTGTGTTTACCCTTATGACCATGCCTCCAAAGTGAAAGTCCACTGCAAGTCCACATTGAGCCTGCAGCGAAGAGACCGATGATTACAATGGAAACGGGAAGTAGAAATAATTAAGCCTTCAGCCTTTCAGAGAAAGGCCATATGACATTACTATCCGAACAATTATAGAGGATAAAGTGAGAACAATGGAACATGTCAAAGGCAGTGTTCCAGTGAAAGCATCAATTATTACTAAGCAGCGTAATGGATTAATTACTGAAATGGGAAGGTTATTGATTTGGTTAGAAGATCAAAATAAGGATAACATTCCTATTAGCCTAGTGTTGATGCAACATTAGGTGAGTGTTAACCTTTAATTATTTTTTTTTTTTTTGAAATTTCTGTCTAAACTTTTGAGTTTGCTTAAAAGAACACAAGTTTATATAACTTAGTACAGGGGTATTACTGTTAGAGTATTACACTGTATCATTACCACATGAGCCATTGTAGTAGTAGTATCATCATACATGTGATGTTCATCAGGGATCCAGGTTACATACAAATCCAACCTAAAGATGTACTTGGGGCCAGGTGTGGGGGTTCACGCTTCTAATCCCAGCACTTTTGGAGCCCGAGGCAGGAGGATTGCTTGAGCCTAGGAGTATAAGACCAGCCTGGACAACACTGGGAGACCCTGCCTCTTCTAGCCAGGCATGGCAGTGCACACGTGCAGTCTCAGCAACCTGGGAAGCAGCAGAAGGATTGCTTTTAAGCCCAGGAGTTTGAGGTTGCAGTGAGCTATGACGCTGCTGCACTCTAGCCTGGGAGAGTGAGACCCTGTCTCAAAAAAATAAAAAAGACATCCTCAGGAACATATCTCAATTTGGCAACCTGGGAGCCACCTGTACTTTGCAGAAAGTAAATCTTTTAAATGATTTTTTTAAATTACCCATTTCCATGATTTTTAATAAACAGAATTATTTATAGGGTTTGCCTTCTATTGGTGTCTCACCTACTATTAGCTGATAGCTGAGTTGAACATGCCTTTAAAACTTGCTCCCAGAAAGTAAGCTTAAATGAAGAGCACTGCTTCTTGAGCAAAGTATCCTATATAACTTCTGTGGGGTTTGACAGAGCCATGTCAGATTGCAATAGTGTCTTGAGTATCCTACTGATTGAAGAGATGTATGTGTATAAGATGGGATAAGGAATATAGAAGTAATCATTTATGTAAATAGGCTTGTACTTCTACAGAAAGTAGATTCTTGCAAGGATACAACAGTGAACAAGCCACAATCTTCTTGAGAAACATGCTTTTACACATAGGAATACTAAAGGTATAGTCAATGTCAACATTTCCTCTTATCCCCATTCTGTTCAAGGTGATGGCAATTTTTCTTTCTAGTGCATGTTAAATTCAGGCACTGTTCAAAAGTACTGAGGATAACAAAATAAATAGTTCTCTTTGGGAACCCGAAAATTGAAATATGTAAAAATCAATATAAGAAATATGCGGGCTTTTGCTCAGGAGGGCAAAACTTAAGATTTTGCTTGGGGGAAAAATCTTTTTATTGCAATGACAATGTTTTATTTATGAAATTACAGGGAAAGTAAAATTTCACTGTGGACAAGAAAAGCTTAAAATAATCAATGAAAATATCCAACTTGGATGCAGAGCTATGCTAATTTTTGGACAAAATAAAAGTATTTTCTGGTTTAAATGTTGGCTTTTAATAAAGTGTAACTGCTGATTCTGATGATCTTTGAGTCCTACGTAGCCTGTGGCCCAGAAGGAACTAGAAATAAACACTAAGTACCTGTTTTCATAGTATAGCAAGTTTTAGCTTTGCTCAGGAATACAATCTGACCACCGAGGAAGCATTTAATTAAAACATTTTTCTGTTAGTCCCAAGAGGAATCCAGGCATTAGTGGGGTTCTCAGTGCTTTCACGCCTTGTGTTTTGGCAGAAACGATTGGGTGGAGAAAGGTCTTTTCACTTAGCTTTTCTTAAGTGGTATTTGTTACTTTCCACTCTTGCCAGTATACTCCTACCTGTATTGTTTGCTTTAAATTTTACTTAAATCTACTCACTTGATGTTAAATTTACTTTTAAAAGGAATCAATATGACAGCAGAAAGGAGTGGTGGGGTTGGCCCAACATGTTGACCAGCTTCTTACAGGGTGGATTTAGGCTTCTCTCAGTGCCCCACTCCACTGGCGGAGAGGGCAACCACGCATTTTAATTCCTCCCTCTTCCAGCTATGGTCGTAAAGTCTGTAAATTGAGCCAAAGTAGATCCCAGGCCTGGTAGTTGTGTTTTTCCTCTGGGCCTTGGGAGTTCAAGTCCCTACACCTGGAATCTTTCAATGATTCCCTTGTGATTCTGGGCCCGCTGGGAATTAGTGTACGCGCTCCCCAAAAACCATGGAGCCTGGGTGCCTCATTCTGTTTTTGAGTCTGCTGCATTTACCTGTTGCCTGCCCCTCACCTGCCTCCACACGGGACAAAGAGCTTCATCCAGAGACTGCACACTACCTGGTAGGGAATGGGAGCATTGGCAGCGTTTGCGACCAGAACCCTTGGGCGCGGAAGCCTGAAATTTTCCGGCTTCAGCAAAGCAGCATTAGTATCTGACTCCACTCGCCAGAGTATGGTTGGCCTGGGGCTTTTTTAAGGGCTGCAGGTTCAGCCCAGGGAAGGGTCGCTCGAGTCGCTGCTCCAGACTGCCAGCTAAATATCTGAATTAGAAACCTTAGCGCACTAACACTCTGGGAGGCCTCGGGAGGTGGATCATTTGAGCTCAGGAGTTCGAGACCAGCCTGAGCAAGAGAGAGACCTGTCTCTACTAAAAATAGAAAGAAATTAGCTGGACAATTAAAATATATATAGAAAACAATTAGTCAGGCATGGTGGCGCGTGCCTGTAGTCCCAGCTACTCGGGAGGCTGAGGCAGGAGGATCGCTTGAGCCCAGGAGTTTGAGGTTGCTGTGAGCTAAGCTGACGCCATGGCACTCTAGCCCAGGTAACAGAGTGAGACTCTGTCTCAAAAAAAAAAAAAAAAAGAAAAGAAAAGAAACCTTAGCACACATTGGGAAACGCAATTCAAGTCGGCTTGGCCTCTTGTGCTCTTAATATATTGGGTGTAAAATGGAAAACGCTTTCCCCTACGTTTACATAGAAATACATGCAAATAAACCTTTAAGAATATAGTACTAGTTACTCTTTCCCACCCCTTTACAACACGATTGCCCTTTGTAGAAAATCGTCACTATATATGCTAATCATTCCAGAAAAATCCCGACTATTCCTTGGGTAATTGGGAGCTAGCAGTTAAAAGTTTAGGAACTACAATAACTCCTATCATTGAACGACTTAAGATTTTATAACGCTAGTTAACTGGAACCTAAATTTCCATAGAGCTGTCTTTGGTGCTGGGTTCAAAGACTAACATTTTTATAGGGGCCTCACAATCTTATTATTTTATGATGTCTGGCGTCTCATAAGGTAGACGAAAAAACGGACTCCTTTACCCCTTCTGTGTCTCCAATGACATCACAACTGCCCACCAGCTCCTCCTACACGTGGCTCCTTAGAAAGCGTGGGAAAGAAGGGAAAAATGAAAAGGGAAGCTGCCAGGACTTAAGATGTCTGCCCAAAGACCCTCGATTCCCCAGGAAGGGCCTACCCGCTTCCAAAATGTCCGTCCGCATTCCTGACGTCACTCCATCGGCTCCATTAAGCCAAAAAACTAGTGCGCTCCAATCAGGGCTCAGTCCCCGCCCCTGACTTGTGTCACTTCCGGTGGTGCAGCAGCCATTTTGTCAGTCGCCAGTGGATCCCGCGCGCTTGAGAAGTGCAGTTCCCCCTGGTTACCGAGTCGTCCGTTCTCCCTTCGTGCTGCGGGCGCCGTCTAAGAGCGCTCGCCAAAGGCGCAGCCGTTCCTCCCTACGGTGCTGCCGCTGCTGTTGCATCTGCCTGGAGGTGGTGCGCTCTTTTCCTCCTCTGCCACTGACAGGCGCCCTCAGAGCCGCCTTCCGCGATGTCAAGCGAGGAGAGCTACCGGGCCATCCTGCGCTACTTGACAAACGAGAGCGAGCCATACGCCCCGGGCACCGAGGGCAATGTCAAGCGTAAAATCCGCAAGGCTGCCGCTTGCTACGTGGTGCGCGGTGGGACTTTGTATTACCAGCGGCGGCAGCGGCACCGCAAGACCTTCGCGGAGCTGGAGGTGGTGCTGCAGCCGGAGCGGCGCCGGGACCTCATCGAGGCGGCGCACCTGGGTCCGGGCGGCACTCACCACACCCGGCATCAGACCTGGCATGACTTGTCCAAGACGTACTGGTGGCGAGGTACGACCTGGCCCGCGGCGAGTGGGCGGGTCGGCGGCTTGTTGCAGGGGCAAGGCTTGCCGGCGGGGCCTGATTGCGCACTCACAAATTCTAGGGTCCTGGACGCCCCTTGCCGGGCCAGCTTGCGCTGGGCGGCGGATCGGCTGCCAGGCGGAGTCGAGAGGGTGGGGGACGCGAAGGGAGCCGCACTTCCCACAGGAAGGAGGCCAGGGGAACTAGGGGCGGGCCCTGGCTCTGGGTGGGGCCAAGGGGGCTTCCCCGGGGGCCGGGCCAGCGGCGGGGAGGGGCGGACGCCTGAGCAGCGCCAGGCCCACTTGCTTACGCGGCCCCTGAGCCTGTGACTCGTTCTTTAGGAGGAAGCTTCTAGCAGGCGGCCAGGGAGGCGCGGGTTGTTTGTGCGGGCGGTTTCGGGGAGGAACAGTTCGTTCGCCCAAAGGCCGGGCTCCGGTCTCCCTTGTGTTCCGCTCGGGTTTTGAGAAGCAGGTTTGCGGTTCTCTGCATCCCGTCGCCCGTATCCCTCAAATTCTGCTCCTTGGGCGTGAGGAATACAGTTATGCGCAGAAGTAATTAGGAGTGGTTGTGTGAACGTTCATCTTGAACCTCGTTTTTAGAGCAAGAATTAAATGTAAAGGATATCAGTTACTCTTAATTCTGAATGTTTTAATATTCTTTCTCCTGATATAGTGAAAAGCGCTTTGGGAACTCTGAGGCTCTGTATATACCCAGAAAAGAGATGGTTTACCGTGACATTTTTTTTTTTGTCAGGAAATAAAGCTCTAAAGTTTCTTGGCTCCTAGGGAACCAGTTTAGGGAAGGAAGGCTAGTGCTCTTGGCTGCTTAACCGTCTGCTTAACTCTCCACAAAGTTGATGAATATTCACACTGCTCGGTTTAGAATTAGCAGTTTACAGGCCCATATTAAGAAGAGGTTTTGTTAGGAATGATACTGCCACACTCTGTGTGGCTGCAGAGAAATTAATTCATGGGTCTTGGTTACTTGCTCTGAATAAAGAGAGTAGACTACTGAATAGTTTCTAAAGTTCTTTTTGGTTTATAAACTTTGTCATCAAGCCTATTCATTTACGAACTGTTTGATACTCCTTTCCTTTGTTCCTTGGAGAATTGTTTTGTGTTTTCAAAAGCAGTCCGGTTCTAGATTTTTCTTAAATGCTTTCTTTTAATTCATTTTCTGGTATAAAGCAATATCGAAATTAAATTCCTCTAAGGAGGCACAACTATGAAGAGTAAAATATGGAGTAATCGCTGTATTTTGTTAGCATTGGTTTAGTCTGATACTGTTTTGTTGAACAAATATCTCAGGTTTAATATTTTAGGACATGTTAAAGATAAGTATTAATATAACTATAGGTAACATCGGTTTTTCTCTTTAGGTTTTTTGTTTTTTTGCATAATTGCTTTACTGGGAAATACAGGTAACATTGGTTACGCTTTTATATGCAGACATGGTTTTGAGCAACTACTTTCTTTGTTTTCATTTAATCTTCATAAAACTTTGTGAGGTGGAAATATTTGTATCTCTATTTTCCAGAAGGAAAAACTAAAAGCACCAGGAGATTAAATAACACAACAAAGGTCACAGGGCTGACCTTCATGATTTCACACTTAACCATTGTTATATGGTGCTGTATAGGGTTTAGTGTTCATAATTTTCTTGTTCTAAATTATCTGGGTGATACCCAGTTTGGGGTGTTTTTTTTAAGCGTGCAGTGCCTTAAAAGAAAAACACCCAGATGATGTTATGTTAGCGTAATTTAAAAGTGAAAGATGTATTTGTAGTTACGCATTTATGCAGAAATTCAAAATCCTTAAACATCTAGAGCAGCTGTTCTTAAAGTACAAGAACCCATGGAAGAGGGAGTCCCTGAGATCCTTTCAGAGTATCCACAAGGTTAAAACTACTTTCATAATAAGGCTAAAGCATTATTTGCCTTTTCACTCTCATTCTCTGAATTTACGATGGGGTTGTGTGTATCGTTAAGTCGAAAATTCGTTTAATACGCCTAACCTACATCATAGTTTAGCCTAGCCTACAGTTGGGCACATCTCACACAAAGCCTATTTTAGAATAAAGTGGTTTATATTGTATCTCATGTAATTTATTGAATACTATACTGAAGAGAAAAACAGAATGGTTGTATGAGTACTTGAAGTACAGCTTCTACTGAATAAGAATTGCTTTTACGCCATTATAAAATGAAAATACTGTATATCAGACCATCGTAAGTCAGAACTATCACTACAGTACTTGTTTAGAAGCTACATGACTTTTTTTTTTTTTTTTTTTAAGACAGAGTCTCACTGTGTTGCCCGGGCTAGAGTGAGTGCCATGGCATCAGCCTAGCTCACAGCAACCTCAAACTCCTGGGCTCAAGCGATCCTTCTGCGTCAGCCTCCCAAGTAGCTGGGACCACAGGCATGTGCCACTATGCCCAGCTAATTTTTTATATATATATTTTTAGTTGTCCAACTAATTTTTTTCTATTTTTTTAGTAGAGACGGGGGTCTCACTCTTGCTCAGGCTGGTCTCGAGCTCCTGAGCTCAAACGATCAGCCCGCCTCAGCCTCGCAGAGTAGCTAGGATTACAGGCGTGAGCCACCACGCCCGGCCTGATTCTTTTCCTTCTTTTCTATTTTAGTTAGACTTAGGCTCTGGCATATTTGCTAAGAAAGTGTTTCAAAGTCAGTCCACTAGAAGTTGTACCAGGGATAGTTTACTAGGATTCGTTATTTATGCTGCTTTTTCTGGAAAGCTCCCATGATGAGCTATATTCTAGTGCTGAGGCAAGATTGTAGCAACTTCCCTTGTTTGGGCATGGTGAAAAACTCTGAATCAGTGCCTAAAGTTTATGTATATTAGCTACCAAACATTTCAGAATATAAAATGTTGGTAGATATTTTTTCCCCTACCTTTCTGTTTTATCCTGTATCGTGTGTGCTGGAGTTTCAAAATGACTCTTTCCCCTGCCGCAGTTCAAAGCTGATATGTGGGGATCTACAGTTAAATGCTTCCAAAATACATGGATAAGAATAAATTAGGAAGCTGAGCACAGCAGCACGCCTGGAGTCCCAGTTCTTTGGGAGGCAGGAGATTCGTTTGAGCTGACGAGTCTAGCCTGGACAACATAGCAAGGCCCTCTCTCTAATAAATAAATAAATACATGAATAAATAAAAAGAAATCACACAAGAACTTAAAAAGCATTAAATTAGGAGGGAAAAAGGATCAAACTAGCAAAATTGTGTAATAGGTTAAATTAGCTGGCTGCAGAAGTTCCTGTCCTAAGAATTGATTTGTTTTTGTTTGGACTATGGAAATAAATTGATGCTGCTGTTAGTTACTCTAGAAGATGTGGTCTCTACAAAACCTGATGATAACTTGGTTTATGTAAAATAAACCTATAACCACTTGCAGCCTCTTTGAAGAAAACAAAATACTGAAGGACCAACATGCGTGGAGCTCAAAAAAAGAGGCCACTGAGCAAGAAATGGTCACTGTATCCAGTAATGACCAAGGAGAGAGGTTCTTAAGCAGCTGACAGGAGGAAATTGTTCAACTTGGCAAATAGATCTCTAGAGCAGTGGTTTGCAACCTGGGACACTTTTACCTCCCAGGGGACATTTGGCTGTATCTGAAGACAATTTTGGTTGTCAACTGTGGAGGAGGTTAGGGTTGTGATATTGGCATCTAGTTGGGTACAGATCAGGGATGCTCCTAAACATACTACAATGCACAGGACAACCCCTCACAACAAAGAATCTGGTCCAAAATGTCAATACTGGTTGGGTTGAAAAACCCTGCTGAAGACTGAAAAACTATTCCTCAAGCTCTTTTATCAGATGACTACCCGCTAAGGTAATTTATTTCCCTTTGTTCTCAGTCCATGCTCCTCTGTAAACAACCATATGGCTTTTATTTCATTTTATTTTATGTTATGTTATTTTATATTTTTAGTTATTTTATGACAAGGTCTCACTGTGTTGCCCCAGACTGAAGTGCAGTGACATGATCCCAGCTCACTGCAACCTGGAATGCCTGGGCTCAAGTGATCCTCATGCATAGCTGGGAATACAGGAGTGCACCATCACACCTGGCTAATTTTTTCTTTTATTTTTTGTAGATATAGGGTCTCACTCTATTGCCTAGGCTGGTTTCAAACTCCCATTCTAAAGGAATCCTCCTGCCCCAACCTCCCATGTTGCTAGGACTACAGGCACGGGCCACCATGCCTGGCTAATTTTTTGTAGAGACAGGGTCCTTGCTGTGTTGCACAGGCTGGTCTCAAACTCCTGGTCTCAAGTAATCCTCCCAAAGTGCTAGGATTATAAACGTGAACCACCTCGCCCAGCCCAGTGAGCATTATTTAACAAATACGTAGCAGCAAGTGTGTGTCAGACACTGTTGAAAGTGCTTTATAAATACTGACATTTAATCTTCATAATAGCTCTATGAGGTAAGTATAATACTGTATCTCCATTTTACAGTTGATCACAAAGAGGTATAGAGAGGTGAGAGGTTCAGTGACTTGGCCATGGTCACAGAGCTAGTTAGTGGATCACTTTTCTGCATAAATAATTTTAATTTCTTGCAGTATTTCCCCACTCTTAAAATAGTAAAGTAACTGTATTTACACATTAGTATCTTTTGCATGGTTAATGTGAGTCAGTCACAACTCTCGGTGAACTAAGGAGGTCTAAATTTCTGAATCCCTAAAGCTATATTTAAGATGATCCCATCAAAACAGTAACATTTGACTTAAAAGATATAAACCATGATATGATAACGTGATTTTTTTTTTTTTTTTTTGAGACAGAGTCTCGCTTTGTTGCCCAGTCTAGAGTGAGTGCCATGGCTTCAGCCTAGCTGACAGCAACCTCAAACTCCTGGGTTCAAGCGATCCTACTGCCTCAGCCTCCTGAGTAGCTGGGACCACAGGCATACGCCACCATGCCCGGCTAATTTTTCCTATATATATATATTTAGT